TTCCAGGCTAGAAAAGGAGATGTGAAAACAAAGAATGAACAACAGACTTTTAAAATGCTCAATGCTTTGTCAGTCTTCTTTCAGTCAAACTTGTATGTGTCTTGTTTCAGTCAAACTTGTATGTATCACATGGTTTTGCCCACAGTGGTGCTCACAAATTATTTACGTAAATAGCAGGGTCCCTTGCATCTATGTGGCACAATATCTACCACATACCCATTACTGAAAAATAAGTGGAAAATTGAAACCAACCATCCGTTTCCGTTTTGCACATGCATATTTTTGTTGTTGGTTTCTTAAACGAGATGGTTAAAAACCTCTTTCTAAACCTCCCCCTTCGCAACCCCACCGATGACCTGGCTTGAATCCAGTCCATCTGACTGAGAAAGGCGCCTGTTTAGCAGACATATTGCCAAGCGAAGAAAGTTATAGGAAGGACATTCCATGGGGCAAATAAACAGGTGAGGTGCCAGAAGACTGAGCATGTGTGCTGAAATTAATAATTCAAGTAGGTCTTGTTATAGCACAGAGTGTGCTGGTTTCATCAAAAGGACCAAAGATAATATTTCCCATCTGTGGAATTTTAATGAATAAAATCTGTTTATTTATGTTCCTCTCTCTTTTTGAAAAGAAATAGGAAAAATGAGCACAATTTCTTTGTCGATGCCACGTTCTCTATTCATTTTCAGAAATGCAAAAACTGAAAATCATCAGTCTCTTGATGCCGACAGCTCACTCAGAGACTTGGACATTGTCAAGAATCAGAGTAGGGTGAGTTTGGGAGGTCGGATGATAGGAGGTTTGACTACTGCAACAGGGCAGGTTAAAAGCAGGAGAGAATCAGTGAAAACAAAGGAGAATCAGAGTCAAGGTTCAAAAGAGACAAGTAACCTTGAATACATCCATTACTTCATGTACAACAGAATATACCTAAACCTGTTTCAAAAAGCATTTCAGAAGGATGGCCAAATTCCTCAGCCAGTATCACAGTAACTTTAGAATGAGAGAGTCAAAACACCTCTACTTTCTTCCCAGTTCAGCCACTAAATTACTGGATGACTTATTGGGATAAGCACTTTGACATTTATTTGCCTGTTACCACCCCTGTAAAATGGTAATGATACTTGCTTCTTTTTGCAGAGCACAGATCTATTCATAGGAAATGACACATAAAGGCTACATATTATTATTGTTGTAGTTTTTATTATTTTCATTATTAATAATAATAATGATAATGGTAGTATCTTTTAAATTTTTCAGATAAGACTAATAGTAGTATCTTTTAAATTATTCAGATGAGAATGAAGATTATTCTTCCCTTTTGTCACTGTTGGTCTCTTAAATTATCTGGTACAAATATGAGGAGCATCTGTTTCCATCTGTTTCTGCTTTCAAAATTACAAGAAGTTTTGAAAAGAGCATTTCATCACCCAAAGTTTTTTCACCTGCAATTTTAATGTGGCGTTTAGGCCAAAGATTCAGGCAGGGCCTTTCTCACTCATGACTGCTATCATCGGTCCTGCCCACTTCTGGGCCTCACCTCTTTCTCAGAGGTCTTGGTCTTGCTGCAAAAATGACTCAGCTTCCCTGAGACTACTGCTGCAGCCCAACAAACAGAGGAAAGCCTGCACCAATTCCATGTGGACTGGCCAAGTGTTTCTATTGCTTTAAGAGCTCTAAAGAAATCTCAGGAAACCAAAAATCTGAATTTAGGCTTCTTAGTTAAATGTGTAAGATCAGATGGAATTAATACAGCTTAAATATGGGCTTAGCACAAAGAAAAGAAATCCAAAGATGTGTAACGTGCCTATTGAAAAGTAAAAGCATTGAACTTATAGCCTTTTTGCATTAAAATTTGGAATCTTACTATGAAACTAAATGTTTACATATGAAATAGATTGAATGAATCCATCTGTCACTGTGAAACATTTTAAAACAAGTAATTACACTACAAAAAATATGCTGAGTATGGTGATATGTTAGGACTAAGAGTGATGATTAGACATTAACAATTCCAGACAAATTACATGAAGCACACATTTTTCTAATCAGCAAAGATAACACATTCAGCATGATCCACTGAAAGCGACTATTGGACCAGCAACAGAGGGATTCTTCAGGCAATCACTGGAGAAAAAGGGACTGATCATTTTGTTTTGATTTGCTACTGCTGAAGGCTGTCAGAAGGATTAATTCAGTTCTCATGCCCTCATGATATTCTCAACTCAGAAGACATGCCAAGGAACCTGTGGATTATATAGAAATACTTCACGTATTAGACAAACAAGATAAAATGGTACAGAAATCTTTCTTCATGTGGATTTACTGCATGTAGCCTGGAATCTTGCGAATCTCTTCCTAAACGTGTTGGTAAATTAGAAGAAGTCGAGAGTAGAGCAATAAAACTAAGCTTTGCACAGGATGTGCTGATGAAAAAGGGAGGAACTGTTACCTCAGTTTGCAAATGTCTAGCGGATGGGGATGAATAGGGGGCAGGCTGGATTAGAAGTAAGAACGGTAATCAGAGGAAACTAAGTAAATGAACAGTCAGGTTTAATATTAGTATATCCAAAGCACAAGCTGTGTAGTAGATCTTCAAATCTCCACATTTGCAGGTACCTGCAAATCTGTATTTGCACTTTCTCGTATGTTAAAGCAGACACATGTGAGAAAAAAGGTAAGATCACAGTTATATGCACCACAATTAACTACCAAATGGCCATCTGAACAAAAAGGCAGGAACTTCATGGACGCAGATTTTTAAAAGAAAGCTTGCTATATAACAGGACATAAAAATATCCTGAATTATCCCCCGAGAGATCCGCTGGATATGACCTAAAGGGAGTTTTCCAGCTCTCATGCCTATGATTCACCATATATCATGCTCAGGATTTTCTTACTCCTGGAAACAAAATAAAAAACACCCAAGCAAAAATGACAGTCCTTTTCCATTACTGGCTTCAGTTACCATCCTCATAGCCACAATGTAATTGGATGCTGAATCCACTTACCGAAACACTGAGAGGAAGAAAAGAGTCAGTTTGAAAGACTTACAAGCAAACATTATTCTCAGTTCCACTACTGCAAACTGTCAGTGACATTTGCTTCTTCTAAATTGTTCTAAACTTGTATCTTTGTAACAGAAAGCAGGATCTGGCCCCTTATGCTGAAGCCACAGAGGAGACCCCCCAGACGTGAGGCCAAAGTCCACCAGAATCTGACTTCTGTCCTAGTCCCGAGGCAGGCATTGCAGCATACGCTGAGATGGATGAACTGAAATGTGGAGCACTTGCAGATGTTCTTAATCAAAAGCAAGACAATTTGCATCAGATGCCCAACTAGTGCAGACTGAAAAAAAAAAGGAAACTACGTCTGCTGGAGTTTCTGTAACTGATTAAGAGTCACTGGCTTGGAAAACTGATCACTGCCCATGAGTCCAACTCCCATGCAAGAGCACGGTAGCAGACGAAACAGACCCCCTCCACCATATAATTTGCAGAATAAGTGGAAGATGGTGTTTGATTCTCTGGGTAACTTTTAATTTTATTTTTAGAGTGAAGATGGGAAAGAAATAGCTCTTACCTGCACTGACCTCACTTACCATTTTGCCACTTAGAAGTCATTTTCCTCACTAGAGAATGGAAAAAATGCTACAGTGGTGCATAACTATTTTTTGAGGTTTTAAATGTTACATTTTTTATAGAAAAGGACAAGGAGCTTGAACTAGACACAGAAGCTAATTTATATTTACTTGAGTTTGTTCTGAATTAATCTGATTTGGATACACTGATACACTGTCTTGACTGAATTTAAGCTTTACTACAATCTTGTGAATAATGTAATAGATTGTGTTAGTTAACAAAAATTCTAATTTGAAAATGTAACTAACTTCAGCTATATGGGAAACAGTTAAAATCAGGCTTTGTTTTCAGTCACACATTTATATTAGATCGGTAAAAACAAATTCTTCGCTAATCACTTTCAAATTTTTCTTAGAGGTACTGACTTCAAATCCAGATGAAAGCATTACAATTATCTAATCTAGCATCTAACACAAGCAAAAGAATTTCAGATAACATCCTTGCACCCAACACAAGATTGTCTGTTTAAGATAGAACATGTCTTTCGGAAAGATATCCATCTTGATTGCAATGTCTGTTGATGGAGAACCAGTGAAATCCTTCTACAAGTTTTTCCACAGGTAAATTAATGGTTGTCACCTCTTTGAAATTTTTAATCTATCTTTTAATTTTCCTGATGACTAGAATTAAAATATTAATTTCAAAGACATGTTAAAGGGAACATTCCCACTATATCGACAGCTATTTTAATTGTCTATCGTTTTCTTTACTGCTAATACAATATGACCAGCATTACAGCATGGAGTAGAGGATTCAGTCAATCTGGCTCCCCATCACATTGGATCTCGTGGAAAACTGAATACTTAGAGTGAGTTTCAGCTCCAGATTCAGTTGCTTATATACACATGACGAAGATACAGGCGTCCACATGTGAGCTGGGTGTCTCAACTCCACTCTAATCAGTGGAGATCTAGTGCATGCAGTCAGGGGAACTTGTTCAGCTCAGCCTGGAGTACAGAATTATGTTTAGTCAGCTGAACAGCTTTCAGCACCACAGACCACACTGAGCAGGTCCTAGCTGACATATACAGATCTATACAAGACCCACTTAAACAGAAGCGTGTTAGTCTGTAAGCTGACTCCCACTTCAGGAGATCAGTGAGCAAACAACAGAAGCATGTAAGATCTGAGATGCTGTAGACTACCCAAGTCACTCACCAAGGGGCGGCAGCTGTGACACAGAATCTGCATCCAGAAGGGAGACCACGCTCTGCCTTGGGACGTCTAAACCAGCACCAGATGTCTCAGAGTGAGCAACTGAATCAAGCCCATAATTTCTCAGCTGCCATACTCACTCCAAGCCAATTTTAAATGTAATTATTTCCTTTTTAATTAAAATCAGATAAACGGAAAGCATACCTGACAAACATCATAGTGTTCGAAGAGAGACAGCAAACCAATGTCACTGCGGCTTGTGATACCTTTCAAAATTGTGATATTGCCATTTCCCGAGTCCAGCTCTATCACATTGTTGAAAACATTGGACACAGCTTTGCCAGTCAAAAGCAAGTTCACCAGCTCCTGTATGTGACATGTTTGAAAAAACAATCATAAAAACAGCAGTTAAACAGCCTGTCTCTACCAGACCTCAGTACAAGACTGATTCAGGATTGATAAAGTTACACTTGTACCAGACCCTTTTAGGTTTAGGATTAGGATTGCTTATAAAATTTTTTCCAGATTTTTTGGGGAAAGTCTACTCCCAAAGTAAAATAAGGAAATATTAGCAGAGTTTTCAATGTTCATCTTTCAAGAGGCAAAACGCTGATAATCAATTTACTCTTACATCAAGCTCTCATCTTTCTCATTTTAGTGTTGGGGTTTTTTTCGATTAGAACATTTAGGTGTCCCTTTTTTTCTACTGAAATTTCTGCATGTGCGCAGTGATGTATTTTGTGTGTTGGACAAGATTGGTTACAAGATATTTTTTTCTCAATGATTATTTCTGGATGAACTTAAGTCTCATTCAGTAAGACGTTCACCCATATGGCTTCACATCTGCTCCATAACACTGATATACTTACTATAGCAGATTGTTGATTATTTCCACTCCAATTGAACTAGAAGTATGGGTGTGTCAGAGGCTAAAGACATGTGAGAGGGGGTGTGTGTGTACATACGCGCATGTGAGTGTGCGTGAAGCTCAAGGGACAGAGACACTAGATATTTTGCTTAGCATAAAACCCCATGAAAGTCAGCTAGGATGTAACAGCACGTAACAATATCTAGCAGGAGACTGTGCTACAGCAATGAACCAGCAAATTGTTAATAAATAGTATATGTCAAGACACATAAGGGGAAATAATAATAATAAAGTTTCCAGAAAAAATAGTCCAAATGACCATGCCCAAAGACATGACTAACACTGCCAGTCTGGACTTGATGTATGACTTAAAAAATACTGCACACATTTATAGCCCCGTGTTTCTCCTGAAGGACTCCCCAAAGTTTATGGGCTCTTACTGATGTTTGTAGGACTTGTAATCCACCAGTGATCTTCCACCACCTTCTTGAGGAATCACTGCGTAACTACAGTATAAAAGTCTTCTAACAGCCGTGCAAGAGAAGAACATGAAGCTTGCCTTTTGCAGGCACAATAGCAGTACTTTTAATAGCTGTGGACCATATTCAGAAAACACAGCTGCCCATGTCCCAGCTTTGGGGGAATCCATGTTTCAGAATTCTGGGATCTACATTCCACCCAGGTGTCCAAGGCAAAACGTTTCCAAATGGGTGGATGCATCTGCAGGCCTAGAGCCCAGTGGGAGACATCTGGTACAGGACATGATCTGGAATTTAGACTACACAAAGTTGTGGTCCTAAGAGTCAGACAGCAATTCAGACTGCTTATTTTCAAGCACCACATGTCTTTTTGACACACCTACAATAAGTCAGTGTTTCCAGCTTGAAGCACCAGTTAGCTTCAGTCAGCATCAGCTCAGTTAGCTGGGCAGTGAGCATTTACAGAGGAGCTGTACAATCAGACATGCAACCTCAGTCACCTTTCTGAAATGGCGGGGAGGAACAGAGTCTGCAGTCTCAGCAGTATCTCAGCACTAAAACCAGCTAAGGAGCTCAAAAGGGGCAGATGAGAGGAGTATGAGCACATACACACATACATGCAGATGACACACACGGACAAGAAGACCAGGCCAAGAGGCAGAGGCTCTAAAATCAAAGACAACAATATGTCAAAACACATGGAAAAAAAGAATAAAAGATGAAGGTGCCTGACATTATGGGGAGAAAGGAAAAAAATAAGGAACTTAAAATAAGAAATGCCATCTCTTCCCAGAGGTCAATTCACGGCTCTGCATGCAGGGCATATGACATCCCCTAGACTGCACGCTCAACTCACCTGAGTACAATAGCCATGGCTGCCAATTAATCGGTTTGTAAGCACATCAAAATCATTGCGCACCCTGAAAAGGAGTGGAGAATGCAATTAAATTAGAAGTGGAGAATACAACTAAATTTAAATACAATTGCTCCCTTTCACTAGACTTTACGTCTCTAAATCCTGGGGGAAAAAAAACCCAAACTGTTTCCCAACCATAAATATAGCTGTACCTTTTGGAATCCTTTCAATACGATTTTCTGCATGGCAAAACAAGTGTATACACCAACTAAACCTGTATCAATGCAAAAGTTTGTTAGAGCTAGTCTAAACAAAACAGCTGTAAAGGAAAAAAGAAGCCATTGTCGCCACCAGTTAGAACTTTAGAAATTAGAACTACTTGTCTTACAGAAATACAGTCTCACAAGATGGTTGACGTTGGAAAGGACCTCTGGAGGTCACCTTGTCCAACTCCTCTGCTCAAGCAGGGCCACCTAGAGCCAGTTGTCCACGATCATGTCTAGATGGTTTTTGAATATCTCTAAGGAGGTAGACTCCACAGCCTACCGGGACAACCTATTCTAGTCCTCAGATACGATATTCTCACGTGTATTTGTTACTGCTATCATCAACACTTGGAATACACTCACTAACCGCAGACAATGTAATATATACACTAGATTGTCCAAGAAAAGAAGAAAGAAAGAAAAAAAAAAGACTCTGGGTGAACACATTTATAATACCGCTGTGTGGTCTTCTATTTTATCAAAGAGAAAAGTCCACAAAATTATGAAATTGCATTATTGATAATTATGGAGTAGTATCTCCCCAAACTAAGTTCCCTCTCCCATAACTGCTGGTATTATTGAATTAGTGATTGGTTGATGACCTAAAAAACAAAGTAAAAAACAAAGTAACTGTGTATTTTGTAACCGTGATAATTTTTCTCTTGCGGATATAATGTAATTACAAACATTATTTCATACATAAATCAACATCTAATCTAGTTTTGAGAAAAAACAGTGTACTATATTATGGAACAGCTATGGCAATAAACTCCACAGATTAATTCTATGGTTCATAAAGAAGCTATTTCCATTCAATATAAAATACGTCGATCTCAATAAACTGTTTTCGCTACATCCTTATTTTGGTATTGTTAAAAAGGTAGAGAGAATGCCTGAGGATCATCAATTAAAACTTCATTATTCTACCTACATCTGGCCTTCCCACTCTCATTCGACTTGTAAAATCTTCTGTGCACCCAAATATTCATGTGTCCTGGCAATTAGTGTAATTATTAAAAAAAAAAAAAGATTTTGTTTCTGTTAAAGTAAGAGCTAAATTGATGTGGTTAGAGTTGAGCTAGCTAGAAATTTCCCTTCAACATTGCTATACAACCTCTCTAAAAAAATTGAATTCTTAAATAAAAAGCTGGGACATTTGCTGTCTTCATCCCAAACTTTACACAACATTTTTCTCATGGGATTCCTTTGAACACCAAAATCAGAATGTAATATATAATTTATAAGATTTCCAGCCCTAACGATACTTAAAATCATTCAAATCAAGCCATAGCCACTGAATCACAATTCCCTTTCTTAAAAATTTATTTCAAAGATAATTTACAAGTTAGTGTCAACCATAAGTGCCACAATAATATCTCTTGCTAGTGAGTAATCAAAGAAAAGGCCATGGAAAGTGTGCCTGCGATACGGAAAATTCTCTTGTGCAACATTGCAAGGAATGGATGAGGCGATAATAATCTTTGGATTTCAGCCATTTTTTAGTTTTAGAAACAGTTTCATCTTGAAAACGCCATAGCCTTGTTTGAAATGAGCAGACTATACAATATGCGTCAGTTAGGGACGATGGGACGTACGACAAAGACAATAGGAGGAAGTTCTAATTTCATCTGTAGGTACAAACAATATGGGAGTTCAGAGGTGTATCTCAGATTTTCAAGAAGAAGGACATCTGCCTTTCAAATCATCTCTGCTAATGAGGAAACAAAGCATCAGGCATATATCTACGAGATTTACACCTATTCTAAAGGGTTTTAAGATTATTATTCATACCTGCCAAAGACTTACCAGCTTCTGTGCAGGTGTATTTATTGTGCTATAATTAAAGGTGTCAGCTTTTAAGTGCAAGCATACTTCATGCATTGTAAAAATACCAGATAAAGGTAACAATGTGTTTTGTTTTCTGCCAGGCTGTGAAGACATTCATTGATGACAAGCAACCCTGCAGCATTTGTTCATTCTGGTGTCTTGGCTATCAGATATCAAAACAGACGTAACGAATAAATCATTACCACTAATACTACTTTGTCTCTGCATGGAATTTTCCATTTATAATTTATAAATCACTTTAAAACACAAAACCTCGTTAATTTTAAGCCAGGAGATTTTTAAGTATCCCAGTCATCATCAGACAATGAGTTAAAGGCTTGACTCTGCAGAATCCCTCCTTCTTAATTTACAGATCAATGCTCTGCATGTTGCTTTGACAGAATCACAGGTCAGTAAAAAGACAGTACCAAAGAGAACAGTATTCATGGTAAATATTTCTTCCTCGCACTCAGTATTATCAGTATTTTCCAGTGTCATGGTAGTACATACTCCTAACTGAAGAGTGAGCTAGGAGTATGTGAACTGCTGGCGCAGAATGGTGCTGTTTGCCTCACCTAATAATACTTTAAAATCTGTGAAGAAAACCTGTTCAATCAGAGAGCAAGATCCTGATTTTTTAAATCTCCTGGACAAATACTTAAAATTAAGCATGTGTTTCAATATGCTGAAGCGCAATCTTCAGCAGGGATCATTTCCTGAGCTGATGATACATAATCAAAACGTCGACAAGGAGATCTGCTAAATTTCAGATCAGTCTGTAAGATCTACCAGCCCAATTTTTATTTTTAGTTATACTGTGGGTAAAGGAATGTGGCTTACTTCTGTACTGAAACCAGGGAGGAGAGAGTTTGAATTCTCTACGGGGCGAGTGAAGCTGTGGCTTTGCTAAGGCAGAAGCAGCCTGCAGAGACGAGAGAGGGACAGCGGCGAATACACTCAGATTAACACACTTCTTAATGTGTGTGAAGTCATAGTTTCAGCCTTTGCTGTATCTCAGTTTTTGCCCTGGGACCCTTGAATTGTTGCATTCTCTATTCAGTAGTGCTGCAATTGCTTACTCCAGCTTTTCTCATATCTTGACAAAACGTGGAAGCACTTATATGCACTCACAGAACCTAAATAACACAGCAAAACTCCTCTCCATGTAGTTTATTAAGTTTCTGCCGTTCTTTTAAAAAACATTTCAATTTTTTTTCTTTTTTTTTTTCATTCCGTAAGAGGGTAATAAGGATGATACCTATATCCTGAAGCTTAATTGTTTTTTCGTTCAGCATGCAATCAAACATTTTTTTCTCACATTATTATCTCATAAATGAACATCATTATGTGGCAAAACTGAAAGATGTGTAAGGTGGTTTCAGAGCAAATATCTAATTTATAGCAACCAGAGAAATCTCGTCATGACAGATATCAACAACATACATCTGGTGCGAATTATACA